GATATGATTCCAAGCAGCGCCGAGCCACACTCCACGCTTGCGTGGGTGACGTCAGGGGTGGCTCGACGCGTGCCCGGAACGTGCTTCAGCATGGTTTGCAATGGATGAAGGAGGATCGTTTCCGGAACACGCTCAACGAGAAGGGACAAGAGATGTTGGACTCCCTGATTAAGATGCAGGACAGCGTCAAAGGGGATGTCGGATACTCTCTGAGCAATTAGTTCACTACGAATGGCAACTTCTTCACCCTATATCGTCCATATCTGCAATCACTAACAGGTATCCAGTTCCCCTGAACTCACTTCGGCACCTACCCTTGAGCTGGCGTGACAATAATTAAGGTTACAGTACTTAGCGCTCTGTCACGGTCGCGCTTCTTCGATATATATGAGGAACTTTGTATGTGCTTGCCAGAACCCTCTAATCTGCGACATCTTTTGTACAGCAACAACACACATCAAGGTCCAACCATCATGTCGAACGGTAACTCGAGATCACCTTGGCGAGGCTCTTTGGGAGCGGACAGGAGGCTCGTAGTGTCCGTGGACATTGGCACGACATTCAGTGCTGCTTCTTTCTGTATCTTACAAAAGGACAAAGTCCCAAAATTCGAGGAGGTCTGTTCCGAAATCAATGCCTTGGATGTCTGATCTGACTTCCGTGCCCCAGATCCTTCGCTGGCCTAAGCAGGTCTGCCTACCGTTACCTCCATCCCTTTGTGAGACTGAAATCTGTACTGAGTAGGCCACCCCCGACGCCAAAGTGCCATCAGTTCTTTTCTATGATAAATACGGCAGGGCTAGAGCCTTTGGTTCGGAAACAGATGATTACGAGACTCAAAACGAGGCCGATGCGGAGGAATGGCAAAAGGTGGAATGGTAAATGAGCATCTTTTTCGTTTTTTGTCGAAGGAATCTAACCCAACCCAAGGTGGAAATTACATCTCCGCCCGCAGCACCTTCCCTCCATACGCAATTTGAAGTTGGAGAAACTGCCGAAGGATGTCACCGTCGATCAAGTCTTTACTGACTTTCTTCGATACGTAAAAGAGCAGCTAAAGGCGTACATTTCGACGACGTATGCCGATGGTGGTACGATATGCATCAGGGAATTCCCTCCTCATGAATTCGGCTGAATAGCCACGAATTCTGCAAAATCCAACGAAGTGTTCCAATAATGCTTATAATCGTAGTCCCTCTAAGATCTTCACTTATTCGACAGAATTCTGCACAATATTACACGAAACAAAATTATATTTCAGTATTAGAAGGGGGTATCTAATATTGTAGTAGAGATGGAACTGAATGAGAGGCAAGGGATTTACTGTTCACGAGACGAGGGTATATGAGATGAAGATGATTACATACTGCAAACCTAAGAG